AGGTGCGCTCGAATAGGTAGGTACTTAGGCAGGAGATTGTTTACTGATCTATCCCCAAGCTCGGTAGTTTACTTAAAGGGACTGCGTGATTAACCTGGTCTGGCGCCAGACAAATATGTTCGACCGATTGTCTAGCCGATGAACTAGAACTAATTGCCAACACGCTACTTGTCAATGGCTACCCTCGACAATTTATCCGGAAGCACGGGCAAATCCGTTAAATGAAAGTTGCTGTAAATACTGTACGTAAGAAAAAGATATTCTTAGAGCTGCCCTTTAATGGTTACATTGTTTCTTTGAGGACCACAAGACATCTGTTTTCCGCCACACGGAGCACTTTTTGTGCTGCTGAAGTTGTAATCATCGACTGAACTCTTAAGCCACCGTTGCCTCCACTAGAGGAAACAGCCTATTGGGCCAACTCTCACTGCGTATATCAGTTCGTATGTAACTGCGGAGGTAGTTTCATAGACAGAACCAATAAAACACTGACTTTCCGAATAAAGGATCATGTAACAAAATGGGTTCAATGCGGCATCATTCAGCAAGCAAGCCCAAATCAGACTACGTGTGTGCGCAGGCCGCCGGCATCTTCGATCGTCAGACACTTATTGACGTCGGGTCACCGAATTGAGATCAACAAGGCGTCTAGGATCCCGTTTCGTCATACCAATTCTCGGCTCCCCCGGTTTGCCTAGGCTATTGACATTAACCGGATCAAGCCTGTGCTCTGTGTGCAAAAAAATTGTCGGTCAGCCTCAGACTATCCTGGTTATAGAAGAAAGGCACCTGCTTTTTCTCTCGTTTGTTTATATGTCTGTACTCACACTTGTATAAAATTACCGGTTATCCTTATCGGAACTGATGAGACTATACGAAATGCACACATCGTCCTCTAATTGTGCTTTTCGAGTTACTAAGGGAAACTAACTGTCTGTGAGATTATTAGCGAAGTAGGTGGTTCGCTGATTGAGAATCTACAGAGACGCTTGGATCGATGGGCCGAACATTTTCGTTCTCTGTTCACTTGGCCCTCACCGTCCGCTTGTGGGCCCGCGAACGCAGCTACCCACCCCGAGTCGCTTCACTTGATGCAGCCAGTAAAGCGGAACTTTGTCTTACGATTCAAGACTACCGGCTCAGACGGACTTGCTCCATAGCTGTTCATTTATGTAGGCGCAGTTATCATCAGCCAGCTAACCTCATTGTTCTCCAGAATCTGGTTTGAGGAAAAAGTGGCTTTCCTGAAATATGTCAGTTGTTCCGATTTGTAAGGTAGGTGCTCGCACTTTATGTACCCATCACCGAGGGATTAGTCTCATTTCGGTTGCCTCCAAGCTATTAGCATCCATACTGCTCCGTAGACTATATTCCATTCTTGAATTCAGTACCGGAAAGAACAAGCTGGCTTCCATTCTGGCCGTGGGTATGTGGATCAAATATTCACGCTCCACGAAATCTTCGAACACCGCCATCTCTACCGGCGGCCTACCATTGTTGCATTCATAAACATCCATACTGTATTCGACTCGGTTGATCGACCTGCGTTACGGCGTTGATTGCTAAACTACAGGATCCCGGAAAACTGCACTGTCATTCTACGCGCACTCTACCTCCACATCCCCTGCGGAGTGAGCATCTGTGGTAAGTTTTCGTCGTTGTTCGCTGTCAATAGCTGTGCACGATAGGACTGCCCTATGTCGCCCTTTCTCTTCAAGTTTGCAATTGAAGACGTCCTGTCAGGAGCTCTGGAAGGTTAGCAAAATTTTGGGCTGTAGCAGGCATCAGCAATACACCAGTATGTAGTACCTGTGCTTCACTGCCGCACAACCACCACCGGTCGCACGTGGGCTAAGGATACTGCGTGGGTCGCCCGGCCCCTACGCAGACTCGCACTCGCGCCCCAAGGTTACAAGTCAGGCTTGTGATTCTTAGGGCTACTAGCCGGCAAGGGAGTGATCGACTTGGATCACGCCGATGGCATGGCCTTATTTACTGATGACTCACAGAGCGTACAAACAATCTAATAACCGTTTGGCGATTAAAATATCTAGGTATGGAATCTACTTCGCCGCGTCCAAGTGTAAAGTGCTGCAATAGGATTGGCGCTGTCCCGTTTCCGTGCTCACTTTTGAAGGTGCACAACTTGAACAAGTGGATAACTTTTTCTACCTGAGCACCTGCGTATCTGCTTGTGGCACTATTGTGGAGGAACTTTCCCTCTGCATCGCCAAATCTCGCTTTACTTTTCTCAACTTAGTCACTTGTGACGCCTTCGGGATCTCTCTCTTAGTAAAGCGTCGTGTTTCCAATGCCACCGTTCGGGTGGTGTTGCTATACGGAAGCGAGTCGTAGCCATTTCATGTGGATGACAATCTGCGGCTCTTGGCTTTTGACAATGGCTTCCTGAGGAAGATTGCTCGTGTGTGGTGACAACAACACATCTGTCACGGTGAAGTCAGATATCGTGTCTTAGGGCATGCGAGTATTCCCTTCAACATGCTGGTTTCGCTTCATCAGTTAAGATTGCTTAGCCACGTCCTGCGTATATCAGGCGTGCGTTTGTACCATTGCTCCCTTTTCGCTCGTGCAAGACTTGGTTGGAAGAGACCACGTGGTGGTCAGCCGTCCACCTGGTTACAGTCGATGAAATCGTTGACTTCACCTCTTGCCGCTGTTGCATCCACACGTCTGCCTGGTTGGAGACTAAAGAACAAGGAGCGCCGATGGCTGGAAACAATTCAGAACGTAGCGCGCAATCCAAACCAGTGGGAGATCTGTGTACATACTTGTTTAGATTTCGATGTTTAATGCCTAACAACTGAAAAAGACAAATGACAAAATGGCATGTGAAAATATTAACAAAAAGTTCCATTCATGTTCCGGCTCTATAGCTGAAGTGTGTTGCGCCATAATGATGATATGGTGATTAGACCTGTTTTCTTCTAGTGATTACCATGGTTTTATTTGGCTCTGTCTATTCGTTAGACTGTTGCTAATACATACATACAATATTTATCTGCATTTACGCCGTATTTTGTTGACGCCTAGTTCGTGATCTAAAATTGCAAGTCATGCTTTCTGCTACGACGTCATTCAGAATTTCTAATGGATTGTCTTACCTCGCTGCTGTTCCTACTAGCTGTCGTAGGTAACCCTCTCCCATTCGCCCAGTTGTCTTGTTGATCTTTTAACGTATGCTTTCTTACAGGGGACGAGTCAATAGTCGCCGAATGACTGCATAAATCTAATACTCCGTAATGGAGCAGCCTGAAAATAGGCTATCGCCATACACCACTTGGTCAACTCGGCAGGTCATTTCATGGCTTCGAGGTAAGTCTGGATTGTCTACATCTCTTGACACTCAGGTCTTGATGATCTAATTGAACCATATTTATCAGAATTTGAGGCAAAAGGTGTAACGGGAAAGTGGTTAAACTCTGTCACACCAGAGGAATTGATGAAGTTGGGTGTCGTCAAAGTGGGACATCAGATGATCATACTGGACCGCATTCACCAACTACAAACCCAATACGCATCATTTGATAACGAGAATATGCAGCTTGTTCTTTTCCGAGTGTCTCGATCGTGCTTGTGCATAGTGTCGGCTGTCAATGCACTCATGTCTGTCACTGAACGGCAAGATTGCCGGGACCCCGATTCAGACAGTGTATACCCAGGGATACTAGATGATATTCGTGACGCCGCGTCATACATTTTAAACTGCATTCTCACTCTCATGTCAGTTGTCATGAATGCGGCATTCTGGTTGGAAAGGTAATATTCTGCGTTTCTATCTCCTTGATCTCATCCACAGGCCTCCATTCAGTGCGTTTTCCGAGTTAAACAGCTTTCGGCAACTGATGATTGACAGTGCTTTGGTGACCAATCGGCATGCACAGCTAGCGATAACAACACAAGATCGAAATCATTTTAAGGAGATGTTGAGTTATGTACGCTTTACGCATTCTCTTCAATACTTATTTACCTGCACCCACAGGTTGAATCTCTGCGCACACGTGTCGAAGAGGTTGTGCATAACTTCAGCGACTCTGTCTTGTATACGCCCTGTAGCATGGAGCTAGTTCAGATTCGTAAAGTCGATCACAGAGAATTTGTGAGTTTGTCCACTTGTATGGAATTTTTGTTTCACTTTGGTTTCTTCATGAGATCCAAACTATACTACTTCACCTCATAGGCTTTCCCAACTGCATTACAATTACACACTGGGGTAGCTGAGTGATGGTGATTCTTTTGGCATGCACGGTACGGGCGTCTATCTCAACGTTGGGATTGCGGTCGACTTCAATGATCAACCAGTTATGCGACCAGATGCCTTCGTTACGAGTGCTGGCTTTTTATGCTTTAGCGCACAATGCATCACTGCGAGACATCGATCTTCATCTCCGTCCTATGCGCAAAATTGAGAGCGTTTATTCAGTTTTCTTATTCATTCCACGGAGGGAACTTGGTATTCCACTTCCGACCATTTGTCTAAAGCACTATGCTTGTTACTTTTTACATCTTCCATGTCAAAAAGCTGTTCAATTTTCAAAACGTAAAGAGGTCTTCTTGTGACCTCTGTCTGACACCACATTATCACATATTATGTTTCTACAGCTACCTACGCAGGTTTTTACTATCTTCACGGTTGACTATTTACCAGTGCGTTGGGAATCGTAGAAACCTTCCGTGCGACTACTCACGATAACCAACTAGCAAGTAGAATCTCTTCTAGTTAACCCCAAGGTGCATGCCTCAATGTGCCCACTTTGTTGCAGATTGGCCAACAGGCAGCACTTACCCGAACACTGAGGACCCGACCAATCGATAGCTGCTGCTTCTCAGAAACTCGTCTGCAGGATTGGAGCTCTGTGATTACCCTGCGATCCCCAACATGCGACACTGGTGGTATTTTCTCGTTGCGCTTATCCGGAGATGAGGCGGCTACAAATGCCAGTCAAGCCGGTGTGGGCATTGCTCTTAGCCCCAGGACTGAAGCTGCGCTGATCGCTTGGATCTCAATGAACAGCCGGATGTGCGCTGTCAGATTGTCTGGCTCATTCAACGCATCGAAGTCGCATGGGGACAAACGGTGTTTGTTTGTCATTGCGACCTATGTGCCCACAAATTGTAGCGCTGACTCAGTGAAAGACGTCTATCATCAGTTAAATTCGCTCCTCCGTTACAGACAAGTACGGATACTGTGGCGGGGTTGGTGGTCGTCGTCGTCGTGCTGGTGGTGGTGATTGGGGATTTGAACGCCCAACTTGGAAAGCTGTCCACTGATGAGCTTCACCTGGGGCGACCAACGCGGTGTAGGCTCCCGTGCTGATAACGGTGAGCGGTTGCTACGCCGGTATGAAGATGCTGGTCTCTTTCTCGCGTGCACTAATTTCGGATAGCACTCGCCGGTGGGTGACATGGTGCCAAGGAGCCTCGAACCAGCCATGGCTGCAAATCGACCACATCGCGATCATTTACCGCTGGAGAGGCTGTGTTCAAAATTGTTGCTAGATTTGGACTACAAGCTTGGTCTCTGACAAGGCACTTGTCTGCGCCGGGCTGCTGGTGCGTTTCGGCGGACGTCAGCAACGGCGCTGTGAACGCATAGATACTTGCCAACTGGCGAAATCCGATGTTCTGAATACGTATCAAGGTACGCTGGCATCCGAGCTGAGTAAGAGCTTACTAAACACAGTTGTAGATCACTGGTCGCATATCTGCCAGGCGTTATTAGCAGCACGCATGTTTTAATGTGGCAAATCATACCACCGACCGGGGCATTAGGCCACTACGCAGTCTCTGGAATTTCTTTATGCTCGCCGATGTGTTGCTCTTGTAAACGAATACAGTGAGACTTACAAATATCTCAGGGCGAAACTACAAGCTAGCCTGAAGAGAGATCGGGAAGCCTAGTTGTTTTGTCGTACGTCGGAGGTGGAAAAAACCGCTGCCGTTGGTAATCATCGTAGGTTTTTCCGTCATATAGAAAACGGACAGCAGGAGACTTGGTGTTTGCAAGACCATACGCGACGAGAGTGGACAGCCAATGCACAAATAGTCGAAACCCTTGAGGCATTGGGCTGAACATAGAGTAGCAGTTCAGTCGGTCAGCTTCTCCATCGGCCCATGATTGCCGTACTTCCTGGGCTGTTCCCCTGGACCCGCCCTCACGCGTAGAAATCGGACGTGAGACCAGTCGGCTGAAATTGAACAAGGCCGCCCGATCAGGTGGACTTCATCCAGCCCACTTCACATTAGTGAAACCTGCTTATTTGGATGATTTGCATACTTACTAGTGAATCTATGGGAGCAGGAAACTGTCCCGACAGACTGAAGCCACTTCGTAATACAGTCAAACATGTCTAAGGCGAACACTCAAGTGACCGGCCGGGTGTTTGTCCTGTAATCTGACGGCGTGGGTTAGAGGCTGCGTAGGGGTAGGGCAACTGGTAGTGGTCGCGCGGTAGCGAAGCCTCTGTACTGCTTACCGGCGTACTGCTGTTGTCTGCTTTTGCCTTCAAGGGACCGACAAATAGTGGTCGCTATGGCCAGGTTCATGCGTAGGGACATTACTCATAGAAGAAAATGTGGATGTTTTTGGCTTTTCGCCATAGACAGGTGGTCACCATAGCAGGTTTGACTGTAGTTCTATTTTTCATTGGAGACTCCCTTTCGGAATGCGGCAGTCATAGTGAAATCAGTCTGATCTCTATTGCCTCTAAGTTACTTGCCTCTGTCGTCTCGTACCCGTGAAAGGCAGATACGTGAGGTGCAGACCGGGTTTCATCGAAATCGGAGCTGCATTGACCACATCATCACATTATAGTTCAGTTCAGTACAGTCGCGTAGCTATGATCCGAGCACCGAAGTCCGATGGATCCAGTTACCATGACTGACATCGCAAGCATAACAATAAATAACAATGACAAGATAGTGGGATTTAGGGAAAATAACATTTAAAGAAAATGGAAGCAAGAATGATATGCGTTAAAGTAATCAAAATGGAACGAAAATTAACACCCAGATGCACAAAACCGAATGCAGGAACGCCGCTGACTGCGAGACTACACCACGTCTGATACGGCTCCAACCATTGGTGCGGGCATTAAAGAAAGGCATCAGCAGTACGCCGGTAGGGTGTACTAACGCTTCGCTGCCGCGCAACCAATCCCGGTCGCATGTGGGCTAAGGATACTGCGAGGGTGTCCCTGCTCCTAGACAAACTCGCACCCGCGCCGTCAGATTACAAGACAAGATGGTTACCTTTAGGCTACGGGTCGGCTAATTAATGTGTCAGGTGTACGACATAACAACGCTTCGCTGCCGCTCGACCCCCACCAGTCGCGTTTTGGCTGAGTATACCGCGGGGACGCCTGCTCCTACACGGATTCGAACCGGTGACCATATGATTGCAAGCCAGGTGTGCAGACCACTCGATCTCCTGCCAATTTTATGGTCACATAGGAATATGCTTTGAGTGAAATAAGACAACAGAGTAAGAAAATTGAGTCATCGTTGCATGCACTACTGTACACTGTAGAGAACCCTGCGGAAAATCCCGGGACTCCCGTCCACAAAGACGACATACACCAGCCTGACAAACAGTCAATTTCTTCATGCCTCGATGCCACCTCATGGACTGGGATCTCGCGGTTCCGGCCAACTTGTTGCAGCCACGGCGTATAATGCACACCAAGGAAGCCGGTCATCGGGCATAAGAATGACGTGTCCTAGCCAAGGTAACCGAAAGGCACTAGAAGGTTTCTTGTCAAGAATCAACTGGCGGACCGCATTGCTCGCCCCTTGTTCCTACCACGCGTGGGCAGTACTCTGGAAGCATCGGTAGTCCAGCATGGCCAAGCGTTTAATGTCTTCATTGCGAACTAGTCAGGTCTCTGATCCACAGAGTAGGATCGGCCTTACCTTTCATCGACAGGCTGGTATCCCGCCATCTCCACTGATGGTTGAGTCTCTGGATAACCACACGAGCCTTGCTGATGCGCGAGATAACTACCTCAGTGATGTGACCACCAGAGGTGACACAGTTACCAAGGTAGATAATCCGATCCATCACTTTCAGCGACTGTTCGGTGATAGCTAGAATCGGAGATGTGCCGGTCCAGTACTGCAACAGTATTTCGCACTTTGAAGGTGCAAGTACATGTCGAGGCGTGCAGAGCTATGCACAAGTCTGTACAGTAGTGTTTGCATAGCGACTGCGTCAGACCTAAGGACAGCTAGATCCCCCGCATACTCCAGGTTTGTCAGTCGGTCACTTGGCAGAACTTCCACTCCGGAAGAGTCTGAGAGAACAGAATCTTTCATGATCATTTCGGTCACGAAGTTGTAGAATAAAGGAGATATAGGACAACCCTGGCAAATCTCGCTACTCTGGGGGAACTCAGGAGACACTTTTTCTAGAGCCTTAGGGCATCGTGAGTCACGTTAGAGACTGCATAATAGAAAGGACTTTAGCCAACTTGCCCTTCATGGATAGGCAGTACCATAAGCTGTCTAGATCAACAGAGTCGACGGATGCTTTCAACTCAAAGAAAACCATCGTAGTCGGTCGTCTGTATGTGTCCGCTCTAAAACTTGCAGATGAGTAAATATGTGGTCTATACACCCACGATCAGAGCAGAAGCCAGCCTTTCAATGATTCGATGTTCACGGGGACCAGTAAGTCGTCGGTGAAGGATGCCCCTGAGAAATTTGCATGCAACGGAAACAAGGCTAATGCCTCCATAATATTCGCATAAAGTGCTCTGACCCTTCTTGGCACGACAGTTGATAGTCGCCAGTGTGAAGGCACCTATTCATTGTACCAAATCGTGTTAACTAGAGAAGCGGGTGCAGTCAACAGAGTCACCATCATCTTTCAACAACGATGGACGAAGGTCGTCGGGTCCAGAAGCCCTGTTTCGTCTCAACACAGAAATCCCATCTCGAATCTCTTCAAAAGTGGAGCTGTGACATCTGCTTCCCACAGCGGTTCAAGTGATTCGCCAAGCGACAGTGTCGCAGCATACATGTTGAACTGCCCTTCAAAATGTTCCGCCCAACGGGCTAGTCGACTTGGTTGTGAGTCCATCAACTGTCCATCTTTCTCAG